AGAGGGGAGAAGGGGGTTGGTGCTGGTGAGAGAGAAGAGGGTTGCTGGTGGTGGTGAGGGAGAAGGGGGTTATGGTGGTGGTGGTGAGGAGAAGACGGTTGGTGGTGAGGAAGAAGAGGGGGTGGCGGTGGTGAGGGAGAAGAGGTTGGTGGTGGTGGTGGGAGAAGGGGAGTAGTGAGGGAGAAGGGGTGTGTGGTGAGGAGAAGAGTATTGGTGGTTGGTGGTGGTGAGAGAAGAGGGTTGGTTGGTGGTGAGGGAGAAGGGGGATGGTGGCGGTTGTGGTAGTGAGGGAGAAGGGGGTTGGTGGTAGTGAGGGGTTGGTGTGGTGGTGGTGAGGAGAGAGGGTTGTGGTGGGTGTGGTGGGGAGAAGGGGGTTGGTGGTGGTGGTGAGGAGAAGAGGTTTGCGATGGTGGTGAGGGAGAAGAGGGTTGGTGGTGGTGGTGAGGGAGAAGAGGGTTGGTGGTGGTGTGGGAGAAAGGGGGATGGTGCGTGGTGTAGTAGTGAGGGAGGGGGTTGGTGGTTGGTGAGGAGAAGAGTATGGTGCGTTGGTGAGGGAGAGAGGGTTGGTGGTGGTGGTGAGGGAGAAGGGGGGATGGTGCGGTTTGTGATAGTGAGGGAGAAGGGGGTTGTGGTGGTGAGGAGAAGAGGGTTGGTGTGAGGAGAAGACGGTTGCTGGTGAGGAAGAAGAGGGGGTGGTGGTGAGGGAGAAAGAGGGTTGGTGGTGGTGGTGAGGGAGAAGGGGGATGGTGCGGGTGGTAGTGAGGGAGAAGGGGTTTGGTGGTGAGGAGAAGGGATGGTGGTGGTGATATGAGGGAGAAGGTTAGTGGTGGTGAGGGAAGAGGGTTGTGGGGTGGTGAGGGAGGAGGGGGATGCTGTGGTAGTGAGGAAGGGGGTTGTGGTGAGGGAGAAGAGTGCTGTGATTGCGGTGGTGTGGTGGTGTTGGTGTGGAGGGACGGGGATGCTGTTGGTGTTGTTATTGTGGATGTAGTGTTAATGTTGGTGGTGGTGTGTATGTGTGTGTGGGGGGGTCATGGTGTCGTTGTTGGTGGTGGTGGTTGTGTTATAGTTGGTGGTGATAGTCCTTTTGTCGCTGGATATGGTGAGAGGGTTTGGTTTGTTGTTGTTAGTGGTGTTATTGTTGTTGGTGTTGTGGTGGTGGTTTTTGATGCTGGTGGTTGTGGTTGGTGTTGTGGTAGTGGTAATGTTGGTCGTAGAGGTGGTGATTGTGGAGGCAGCGGTGGTGCTGTTGGTTTTGTTGGTGGTGCTGGTGTTATATATATATGTGTGTGTGTGTGTGTGTGTGTATGTATATATATATATATATATATATATATATATATATATTATATATATATATATATATATAATATATATATATATATATATATATAATATATATGCGTGTATTATATATATATATATATATATATATATATATATATATATATATATTGTGTGTGTGTGTGTGTGTGTGTGTGTGTGTGTATACGTGATATAGATAGATAGATAGATAGAAATATGTGTGTGTATATATATATATATATATATATATATATATATATATATATATATATATATATATAATATATATATATATATATATATATATATATATATATATATATATATATATATATAATATATTAATATTATATATATATATATATATATATATATATATATATATATATATATATATATATATATATATATATATATATATATATATATATAAATGAATGTATATATACACAATATCATATATTATGTATCACATATATATTTATACTATAATATGAATTTTATATATTAATCTCTCCTTTTCCAGATTTTGTGCAACCTGCGTGTCTGCCTTTCAGTGACCCGAACCGAGATTACCTGAACGAGAATCTGCTCGTGGTTGGCTGGGGAAGGACGGCATTTGGTGAGTTTTGAGGGAGAGTCGACAAAACGATAAGGAATTGAAAAGATAACAAAAATGAATAAATGAAGATACAGATAGATCAAATCGTATGAGCAGCCGGTGATTGGTAGTGGTGATGATGGCGAATGATGATGGTAAAGATGATGATGATGATTGTGATGGTGAAGTTGATGATGGCGATAGGGATGATGAGAAACGAGTAAACATAAACGATGTTTGAGAATGCCTCTTGAATCTAACAACAAAGTAATATTTCACGTAATTCTTGGAGCAGAGCAATATGAAAGACAAATATCTGACGTTGGGAACACAATATATTTCTTAAACCTTTGTTTTCATTTTTCTTTCGAAGAGTAACCCATCCCCTTCCCTCTCCCGCGTGCAGAGAACCGCAGGACATCGCCGGTGCCCAACGAGGCTTTCGTGCCCGTCGTGGACAGGGGCCAATGCCAAGCCTCTTACCGCAACGTCGAGACCCGGCCTGTGGTGGACAGCCGGAACATCTGCGCCGGGAGAGGAGGCCAAGACTCGTGCAATGTGAGTAGCAGCGGAGACGAGGGAACGAGGTGGCGGATGGCTTGGTGCAGGGGAGTTTTGGGCTAGTTTATTTCGACTTTAATTTGAGTGAAAGCAAGGCAGTAATTTTGGGTATTTTTACTTGATTTTCCTTGTCTTTAGTGGAGAAAGAGAATGGCTAAAAGTTCTCGTTAAGTGATAATTATATTGGTTCCGTTGGTTCTACTTGCGAGAATAACAACTGACGTATGGTCAAATAAATAATAGACATATCTAAATTTCAGATCTACTTCTCTGTTGAATGTAAATCCAGTGTTCACATATAAACAGGATATCAATGCAAATATACTACCAATTCCCCAGGCGTGAAAGGAATCCTCCAAACAGAGACTTAACTGGCCCATTCCTCTCCTTCCTCCAGGGTGACAGCGGAGGCCCTCTGCTCTACCTGGACAACAGCAGTGACCAGTATTACGTCGTCGGGATTGTGTCCTTTGGGGTGAAGTGTGCCTTGCCCGAGTTCCCAGGCGTCTACACGAAGGTCGGCCATTTCTTGGGCTGGATCAGAAGCGTGGTGGAGACTACGTAGGCTGCAGGTCGGTCGCGTCGCAAGAGGATCTCTGCAGTGTCCATTTTTCATCTTTTAATGCATCTTTATTTTGTTCATACTTTTCGCCCGGCGAAACCTCTCGCCAGCACTGGCGAAAGATTTTAAAAGTACGGGCCTAAGGATCTGAATTTTCTGCTGATCTTTTGGAAGGATAAGGATCTTTTTAACAAATTTCAAGAGCCTGAATTTATTAGTGTCCATCTTTTAAGAATATAAATTGTTTTTGTTCTTTTATCATTTTCAGGATTTATTTTTCGTTTGTACCTTTGCACTGATAAGGTTTCTTTCTTATTTGAGGAAAAGGGCATTTATATAGGTTATACTTAGTACAAGTAAATATATTTGTTTATCGCATGGTGTTTTGATTTTACCTTTTGTAAAAATGCATATTCATATTTCACTGTACATTATGTGAAATTTTAAAACAAAATTGCATATCATGACTAAAGTGACATTAGAGATTACTAGTTCAATGCATTTATCAGCTAACCAAATAATTGTTCACTGAAATCCGCACTGAATTTCTTTAATGATGCTTTTCCCGCGAAGAATCCGAGAGGCCATGGTGTAACAAGCAGAAAATAAACAAAACGGGACTTAAACGCTGACTCCGAAGTTTACCCAAGAACCCAACCTTTGCTGAAGTTTTCGGTGTTGGTGCTTGTAGCCTGCTATACGAGTGAGCGTATTGCTTCGCCGAGGTCGACATTGAAATCAGTTGAACCCCACTTAGCTTCGTAATACAGGCATCTCCTCTCCTGTGGCGACGGGAGAGAAGAGGCTCAGAAAGGAAGAGACAGATCCTTCTGACGGCGCCGCGGCAACGTTAATGAAGGTGAAAATGAAGGGGAAACGCAGTAATTAGGCAACGAATAACAGGCACTCCCTCTTCTCTGGCAGATAACATCGATAAGGAGCGTGCTGGTGTAGAGTCCAGGAACAAGGAGTGTTATAGAGGAACATTCTGTGATCCTGGAAATAGTTGTAACATTTTCCGTTGCTTGTTCCTTCTGTGGGGTACAGTGACGGCAATAGTTCGTGGACTTCTGGTGTCCTCGGAGTGAGAATCACCAGATAACGAGGGGCGTTGTTAACTTCATAATAAGTGTCCTCGATTTTACATGTTTAAATTTTGTAATCTTTTTATGTGCACATAAACTATTGTATTGCGCAGAAGTAAAAATTAATAATAAATTTAGGTACACTAATATCTCTACTCGGTTACTTGTTTATACTTTGGTCGCACGGCTTGCAGTTTTACTTATAAAACTTTGCGGTGGCAGCGAGACTAAATTTTCGTAACAAGCTGTAATCCATATATCAGTTTATATACCTGTCACATCTTGTTTACGATTATTATTATCATTGTCATTATTATTTTTTTTTTATTATCATCTTTATTATTATTATTATTATTATTATTATTATTATTGTTATCATCTTTATTATTATTTATATTATTATTATTATTATTATTATTATTATTATTATTATTATATTATCCTTATTATTAACCATTATTATCATTACTTGTAGTAGTAGTAGTAATAGTACTGTTATTGCCATTTTATTAGTAGTAATGACAGTATTATCACCATTATAATTGTTGTTATTTTTTATATTATCTTTATTACTAACATCATCACCATTATCCATATTTTTCTCATTTTCATTATTATTATTATTATTATTATTATTATTATTACTATTATTGTTACTATTATTATTATTATTATTATTATTATTATTATTATTATTATTATTATTATTATTATATTATATTATTATTATTATTATTATTATTATTATTGTAATTATCATTATCATCATCATCATCATTATTATCATTATTATTGTTATTATTATTATCATCATTTACTACTATTACCACCATCGTCATTACCATTATCATCATTATTTTTATTCCCAGCATCTTCATTATAGTTATCAATAGCATATCATTATTGTTATTGTTATTAATATCATCTTTGCTATTGTTTCTATCATTATCATCATTACTATTATATTCACTATTATTATTATCCTTGTTATTATGATCATTATCATGATTATTATTATCATCATTATTATTATTATCATCACGATTATTGTTATCACCATGGTAATCCCCATTATTATGGTTAGTAATGTTCGTAATATTATTATTTTCTTTATCATCGATATCATAATCATTATTATTGTTAGTTATTGTTCTTACTGATATCATTATTGTTATTATTATGATTATCATTTTATTATTACCATCATTATTATCATTATTGTTATTATTATTGTTGTTATTATTGTTATTATTATTGTATTATTGTTATTATTATCATTATCATTATTATTATTATTATTAACATAATTTTTTTATTATTATTATCATTATTATTATTGTTATTGTTATTGATATTGTTATTATTATTATTATTATTATTATTATTATTATTATTATTATTATTATATTATTATTATTATTATCATTATTACCATTATTATTACTAACATTATCATTTTGTTGTTCTTGTTTTGTTATTGTTTTTGTTATTGTTATCATTATCATCATCATTATCATTACTATATTTAATATTGTTGTTGTTGTTTCTTATTGCTATTATCATCATTATTATTATTATCATTAATATTTTTATTATTATTGTTGTTATCATTATTATTATTACTATTATTATTACTGTCATTATTGTGAGATATTACTATCACCATCCTCACCACCATTTTTATCATTAGTAATGCCAATAGTATCATTATGATCATCATTATTGTCAATATTATTATCATCATCGTTCTTATCAATATTGTTGTTATTAGTATCATTATCATTATCATTGTCATCATCATTATTATCATTATCATCATTATCATTATTGATATTATTATCATTAATGTTGTTATTGTTGTTATCAGTATCATAATTATTAGCATTATCATTTTCATTTTCATTTTCATTATCATTATCATTATTGCTTTTATTGTTGTTGTTATTATTATTATCATTATTATTATGTTTTGTTGTTATAATCATTATAATTGTTATTATTGTTGTTTTTGTTTTGTTGTTATTTCTATTATCGTCATTTTCAGTATCCTCAATTATATTATCATCATTACTAATATTATAGATTTTTAAATCATCATTATTTGTATTATATAGTTCATTATCATCATTATTATTACCTTAATTGTTTATAATAATTCGTTCTTATTTCTACGCATATGCTTATTATCATTGATATTAGTGTTGTTATTATCATTATTAGTACTATTACTATTGTTTTTGTTATTGTTATTGATAAAATTACTATTATCCTTATTGTTGTTATTATTTCTGTTGCCGTTGTTATTATTGTCATAAATATTGATAATTTTCTTATCATTATTGTTATTATTATCAATTACTATTATTGATATTATCATTATCATTATTATCATCACTATTATTAGTAGTATCATTAGTATTATTATCAACATCATCATCATTACCATCTTCATTACTTTTTAATTTTTATCAGTGATTATTATTATTGTTTCTATTTTATTAACACAGTCATCAATATTACCATAATTAGTAGTAGTATCATTGTTGTTCTTATGATCACCATCATTATCATCATTAGCAGCAATAAAAGTGTTTTCATCATCCTGTCAGTAAAACCAAGGAAAGAACTGTAAAACCCAATCTTATCTCTATCACTCTCTCCCTGAGTCACTCCCATGTTGTTTACCGGACCCAGGGAGCCCATTATGGTGTAATCTTCTAGAAGGTTCTTTCGTCACCATGACTAAGCAAAACTGAAAGCGTTAGTCACACCTGATCGTAGTGTGAGAAGTGTTATTTCGTTATATCGAATCTGCATGTTTTTGTATAAGCAATTTTTTTCAGTTTAGTGTGTGGTAATACATAATTTGTTGAGTGGTAAGTCAAGCGAAGTTGTTGAAGCTTTTAAATTCATACCGAGTGTCGCCATCCTCTGGCAATGTTGCCAACAGCTCATCCAGGGTGTCGTCATCTGTCAGCGTTGCCAACAGGTCATCCAGAGTGTCGTCATCTTCCGTCAGCGTTGCCAACAGTTCATCTTGTCGTTGTCCAGCTTTGGGTAGTGAGTCTGCGAATCATATGTGTCAAAAAAGGTATATTTTTTATTGCTTCGCTATGTTTGCTGTAATAAACGGGTAGGGGTAGATATCCATTACCCGATGAAAAGGAAGCATATTGCGCCATTTTCGTCATCGTTGCGGCATATCAAACCGCTTCGCTGCATATAAAGAGACGTGCAAGCAGGCAGACGGATCTAACAGCAGGCAACACCCGCACGGCAGTATTTCCTTCGAGCTACGATCTTCAGAAGCAGCGTTTGCAAGATTTTCTTCGATTTTCCGTCCTTCAATCGAGCCATATTCAATTTGGAAGACGACCACAGCCTGGCCGCCCTCACTTTCCTCACGGGACAGTCGTCGAACTGTGTCAGGGACCATTTTTTCTCCAAATTTCGAGGTTTTCAGGTTTTCGTCACCCCGAGGTAAGCATTGGTGAGGTTTGCTTTTTTTTTCATTTATGTTGTTTTTTTCGCAGCTGTCATAAGGAAGAGTCTAATGATACATGCGTGGGTTCATTGAGCATCTACAACCGTTATTTAATTTTCTATTTTTTCATTTATCCATTTATGTTTGAACATAGTGACATTTGTTGCTATTGACTTTAGATATTCCATATTCTCGCGATAGCTATCAGTATTATTCAAAACCGTATTTTCCCCCGGAATATTTTTTATATTTTTTGTCTGATTCATCCCATTCGTTTGATAGTTGACGATATTGAATGTTCATTTTTTCGCACATTTCAAACTTTTTCGTACATTTTTAATGAATCGTTTTACACAGATGCAATAACCTTATGTCCAGATCTTGTCAGTGTTTCGTAGCCTCACGATGGTAAAGTTGCTCGCAGAAGGAGGATGAACTTGTAACATATTTTGTGAGGGCAGAACTTGTAAAAATTACTTGTCTAGTCTTATTTGGCAATAAGAAAGATTATCCGTTCATCTATTAAAGCGTTAAATTATATGATTAAATACTTCATCAAAACTTACCAAGTTGTTAGTTTACCCCTCACGTATCGTATATTTTAATGTCCTAGTAGATGTCATAAATGTGAGCATGTCCAGGCTTATTTCGAGTCTGCCGAGACAGTCTGTATCATTTTTCATCTTCCTTATGACCCGCCATGCCGGGAGTTCGCGGCCTCATCGTCAGCTCGCGTGAGTAAACAGCAATTTTTTGTCCTAACCTTTACCTTCCAAGTGACATAGACGAGCGGCGAGTGAGATGCGTCCTTCAAGAGGCTTCTGCAGAGCTGCGAGTTAGATCGAGTCGGGCCGGGACGGCTTGACCCGCGGACCCTCGCTCTGCCATCTGCGGGGCGGTGCGTACCCTTTCCTTTCCATTCTTCCCTTGACTGTCGTCCTAACATAGCCACTCTCACAGCAGCCAGTATGTTTCCTCCGAGGTTCGCCGATGCCCCGCGGGGGCCGTTCCAGCACCGCCATCCATTCCCGCTGCACATGAGGCGTCGAGGCTTCCCACTGAGGGGAATGCAGCGCGGGCTGCCATTGCCCCGACCTGTGGTTCCTCCCCATTCTGCGCCTGGACTGCGCCACCATTTTCCCCCCTTGAGGTGTCCTCTCGGCAGCGGCGCCAGAAGCCATGGCTTTCCAGAATTTGTTCCTTTCTTAGCTTTTGGAAGGTTTCCTCCATCACATCCTCACGACCATAACGCTCCATTTGGAGGCTGTCCTCCTCCACCACCATGTGGAAGGTACCCTCCTCCCCCTCCTCCTCCGCCACCATGTGGAAGGTACCCTCCTCCCCCTCCTCCTCACCACCAAGACGTTCACCTTGTGGACTGCCCACCTCCTCCTCCACCTCCTCCTCCTCACCACCGAGTCGGGTCCTTCGGAAGGCATCCTCCTCCCCATCCTCCATCGCCCCCACGACAGGATGGCGAAGAGCCTTGTTTGGACTTTGAGGATCCCTTGGAGCAGCCTGGGGACCGCAAAGAACCGTCCGCCGGGGAAGGGAAGAACCAGGAACACGAGGCAGGATGTTCAGCCGCCAGTTCCGATCTCTGGGCGGCCGTTGGGGTCGGATCATGGACAGCCGAGGTCGAAGTCGGACCCTTTTTGGCCGGGGAGATACAGGTGAACAGCATGGGACGTCTTGGGGTAGAGGTCCACGCTGCGCATTACCACGGGGACGCGCTCGTCGCCTCCATAGTGCAGGTGCTGCCTCCGCCGCCGTCTGGCGGGCCTTTCGTGGTGTCTCATGCCGTGTCCCTACATGGCTCCGTTCTCCTGACCGCCTGGGCCGACGCCGGTGTTCCTGAACCCGATGTCGTCCAGACCGACGGCGACGGGACCGCGGCCGAGGCTGGCGGTAACAAAGACGACCCAGATGACGATGGTAGACAAGAGAAGATCGTCGATAGCATTTCAGAAATCGAGATTGCCTGAAACGAAGACTGGCTGAAGACTGGCGTATTAAACGAAGAACTTTACCGAAAACTATTCTAGCATATATTTTTAGATGTAGTAGATCCACGTTCCACACTTTGTTTCGTGGATAGGGTATTGTAAGGCGTTTTATGTAACATCATATAAGTAATCGTGTCATACTTATACTTCTATCTGCATTGTAGTACATCAGTACTGCTACAGAGCTAAATGATATAGATAGGGATTAATCGAGAAAATTTGATGATGGGTTCATATATATAGATGTATATATGCATGTGTGTATAATAAAGGATTTAAGTAATAGAGTATTTCTTTCCTCAAAGACATCCTTCTAAAGTGTCTATCATGCAACAAAGGACAATGCAAGAAAAAAACAAAATATGTAATTCTTCAATATAGTTTTTGTGCAATATAATTAACAGGAAAAAACATATATTTCTTTCCAACTCACATTGAACACATGACACTAAACGTCCCTAATACTGAAAGAATAATACAAGAAAGCTAATAAACCAAAGCCTAATACTTTTTTGAAACATACATCATGCTGTCTCAAATCTAGAAAGTTTAATCACTCAAAATATTAAATCTTGTAAGATATAAGACTGTATTAGCAATTCTGTAAGACTTTCACATAATGGTCTTCTATGTGCCTAGTTGTACGTCAGTACTGCGTCAGCGCTAGATTGTATTGACTGTGATTCAATAAAATATCACTATAGTAGAAAGAGCGAAAGGGGCGGAGAGGGACGGAAAAAGATGGAGACAAAGCGAAACGGAGAGAAAAGAGAAAGATGTATGGAGAGAGAGGGAAAGAGCAAGAGACAGAGGGAGATGGAGCGAGCAAGAGAAAGAAGAGAAAAGGAGAGAGAAAGAGAGAGGCAGCCTTTTTTACTTGGAGAAAATAAAGACAGAAAAGAGAGAGAGAGACAGACTGGCAGACACTGGAAAAGGGGATTACCTTTTTTACAGAGAGGTAGAGAGGGAGACATAGAGAGAGGGACTTATTTCTTTACTCTGAGAGAGAGAGAGAGAGAGAGAGAGAGAGCAGACTTTTTTCTTTACACAAGGAGAGAGAGAGGGAGAAGGAGACAGAGAGAGAGAGAGAGAGAGAGAGAGAGAGAGGACTTTTTCTTTACTCTGAAGGAGAGAGAGAGAGAGAGAGAGCAGACTTTTTTTTACTGTGAAGGAGAGAGAGGGAGGGAGAAGGAGAGAGAGAGAGAGAGGACTTTTTTCTTTACTCTGAAGGAGAGAGAGAGAGTAGACTTTTTTCTTTACTCTGAGATAAAGAGAGAGAGAGAGAGTCAAAGTCAAAGTCAAAATACTTTATTCCAATAATTACAGTGGTTATTCTTTACATAAATACATTCATATTTACAATTGATTATTTAATAGGTGTTCTTTTAATTTCGTTTTGAAATTACAAAAGCGATTAATGACATATATTATCTAGTAACATGTTCCATAACTTGGGTCCACGTATTTCCATTTGTCATGCCCCTGTATCAGTACTCGATCTCTCAACATAAAGAGAATTTACTTGGCGTGTCACGACATCTGATGTGGTCCCTACATATTGCAAGGGCATTGACCATTGCGGGTAATTCCCATGAATGAGCTTGTAGATGAATACACATGTCATAACTGCATTTAGGTTGGACTTTTAACCATTTTAATTTTTGGATATACGGGCTGATGTGATCAAGTTTACTGATATTACCTGGGTTCTTATATCTAATTAACTTTTAAACCAAAAGGTATCAATTTTATGAATTACTAATTTGTTAAGGAGAATTCCATGGTTGACACTATCAAAAGCCTTAGAAAGGTCGCATAATGTGAGCAAATTTACCTGATAATTTTCTATGTTATTATAAATTTAATCAGTAATTTGTAGTAAAGCTGTTTCAGTAGATAACTTATTTCTGAAACCATGTTGCGTTTTAGATAATAAGTTAGTATAGTAATAGGGCGATAATTAACCACATCGTCTATATCCCCCGACTAGAAAATTAGTGTTACTGTACCATGTTTCCAAAGCGACGGAAAGACGCCAGTGACCAGACAGATGTTAATAATGACCGTCAAATAGTGTGCAATTGCGGGTCGACTATCTCTAATAAAGCGCAAAGCAATACCGTCCGCTCCTACAGCATTTGTTTCGCGAAGGTGTTTTATTACTATTATTGTTTCTACGTCCACTACTTGTGGTCTGAAAAAAAATAGTTGTAAACCTTGCCCGATCTGTGTTTCGTTGTAATGCAGAAGCAGTTGTTTGTTCATAAGTTAGTTTTTCCAATTCTTGAAAAGTAGTAATTAAAATGTTCTGTGCTTTGTGTAGAACTTGCACAATCACTAATGAGGTGTTTGTTGTGAGGCGCTAGTGTTTCAACAATTTTCCATGTCTTATCAGAGCTGTTTTTATATTCGGTAAATTTATTTCTGAAATAATTTATTTTTGCAGATTGAAGTAACAATTTGACATTTTTCTTTTTAACTTTATAATCTACTTGAAAGGCAGCTTCACGTCTGTTACTTTTAAGAGCTTGGTGGGCATTATTTCTATCGCAAATGGCTCTCTTGATGTCGTCATTTATCCATGGAGCAGGGGGACGTCTGACGATTCGTGTTACGTAGGGAGCCAGCACATCGATGCTGCTTTTAATAACTTCCGTGGGAATAGTTACTTGTTTGTTTACATTATCTGTCGATGGAATATTTAATAGATTCATTTCTTTAGAGAAGCTCGCGGAAAGACTGAGGGTCATAGTGTTTGAAATCGCGAAAAGTTTTTATCACTGGTGGTCGCTTTGTTTTCTTTATATTTAACGTCATCGTGATAAGTTCATGATCAACAACATGGCACGGGATGACCGGAATGGAGAATGAGATCTGGTCTGTTAGTAATTATTAAATCTAATAGAGAAGAGGTGTTTTCTGTAATTCGAGTAGGTTTATCTATTATTTGCACTAATTTATTTTTCTCAATTATCTTCGATAATTTAGCATTAGATTTTGTTAAATCATCATTTAGGTCGCCTAAGATGAAAAGCGGATTCTTTTTAAGGACATTTCTCTAAAAACCTTTTCAATGTATTCAAAAGATTCCGAGGTAGCATGGGGGTGCCCATAGACAGTGTCAATAATGAAGGAAGGAAGCATGTTGCTTTGTTTGTATGGTAACCCAGACATCTTCTACGGCAGTATTGTTAACTGCTGTAGTATATATCCTGTTTGACTTCAGGGTATCCCGTATATATATACATACTCCTCCTCCTCGTTTGTAAACTTTAAAATTTGGAATATTGATGAAATTACTGACCATTTCCTGAAGGAGCCATGTTTCACTTATGCATAATATGTCTATGTTTCTTTCCTCAACAAGCATTATAATTTCTTCGTTTCCCGAGGAGAGACTTGTATGACATTTTGCGATCTAGTCATTGGTAACGCTGACGGCGTTGCCTGGTCAAACATTCTGATCGCGTTTATACTTGTTTTTGTTTAGGAACACTTTAACATTGTCGGGAAAAGCATGAGTCTATAAAAAATTCAGGTTTTATCTTTCCTTTTACTGACACCGTGAAGCTGGTGTAGTAGTCATGTGTCATCACTGTCTTATGGGCCTTGACACGAGATGTTTTCAAACTTTTCGGATAGATGTTCTTCTATATCCTCTTCGTTTGTGTCTGGGTGACAACTGGTGATATAAAAGTAGACTGTGTCAGGACGATCTGCTCTCTTTAACGGCTTTGGTGTTTGGTGTTCTGTGTCTCTTTTTCTCTGATTTCTTGACTTGACCTTGGTGTAACCGTCTTCATCAATATCTTGTGTGGGTTTTGTTCGTTCTGCATGGTTGTTAATGATGACTTGTGGCTCTGCTGGAGGAGGGGGGCAGCAGGTAGGGCGGTAGCCCTTTGCACCTGCTGCTGAGCTGTTTCCTCCCAGTGGCGGTTGGGGTCGAGTTGTTCGTTTGATTGTTACTCCTGCTGTTTTTTTGTTTTGTTTTTCTAAAGCTCCGTTTAGGTGTTACTTGTGTAGAAGCTTCCACCTTGGTCTTCTTTGGTGTGTTGATTTTGGGTCTCACGGCGGGAGGGCTCTTAGTTGACTTAGGGGAGGCGGGGGCGTCTGTAGGGGCGGGGGTCCTGGCTGCTGGGAGCGTCGGGCGAGGGGCACGTGGATGGTTCAGTAGAGTTGGAGGCCGGCGAGTCAGCAAGGGCGCGAGGGAGCTGGCGCCCTTGAGAGAGAGAGAGGAGACATTTCTTTACTCTGAAGGAGAGAGAGAGAGCAGACATTTCTTTATTCTGAAGGAGAGGGAGAGAGAGAGAGAGGAGACATTTCTTTACTCTGAAGGAGAGAGAGAGAGAGCAGACTTATTTCTTTATTCTGAAGGAGAGGGAGAGAGAGAGAGAGAGCAGACATTTCTTTACTCTGAAGGAGAGAGACAGAGAGTAGACATTTACTTACTCTGAAGGAGAGAGAGAGAGAGCAGACATTATGTATGGAGACAAGTTCTGCATTGGCTGTTTATTCTGAAGAGGTGTTAGCGTGGCGATTGCTGTCTCGTGCAGGGGGAGTCCTGGGCAAGGTGAGCCCAGATGTGCGCCGAGCGGGAACGTGCATGGGGAGAGCCCCAAGGCGGAGCTAATCGGGTCAGGACGCTGCCCTCGCTCAACTGTCCTGTAGCTTTCAAGAGTGGGTCAGGAGTCCCTAGCGTTGGAGACGTGGGAAGGTAATCCTTGTTCCTCAGAGAGAGAGAGAGCAGACTTATTTCTTTACTCTGGAGATAGATAGATAGATAGAGAGAGAGAGAGAGAGAGAGAGAGAGAGAGAGAGAGAGAGAGAGAGAGAGAGAGAGAGAGAGAGAGAGAGAGAGAGAGAGAGAGCAGACTTATTTCTTTACTCTGAAGGAGATAGAGAGAGAGAGAGAGCAGACTTATTTCTTTACTCTGAAGGAGATAGAGATAGAGAGAGAGAGAGAGAGAGCAGACTTATTTCTTTACTCTGAAGGAGATAGAGATAGATAGATAGAGAGAGAGAGAGAGAGAGAGAGAGAGAGAGAGAGAGAGAGAGAGAGAGAGAGAGAGAGAGAGAGAGTGAGAGAGAGATAGAGATAGATAGAGAGAGAGAGAGAGAGAGAAGAGAGAGAGAGAGAGAGAGGAGAGAGAGAGAGAGAGAGAGAGAGAGAGAGAGAGAGAGAGAGAGAGAGAGAGAGAGAGAGAGAGCAGACTTATTTCTTTACTCTGAAGGAGACAAAGATAGAGATAGATAGAGAGAGAGAGAGAGAGCAGACTTATTTCT